TAATAATGATGAAAGAATTATATTAAGTAAAGTCGGAAACTGATCGAGGAGTTTTTTTAAAGAGATAAAATCATAAATAATTGTTTAGTTTTGCAGTTTTAAATTGTGAAAAAAATGTTCATACTTAATATCTTGTACGTAATATTTGTCAGATGTAGTATAAAATATTTAAAAAAAACTATATATGTTTTTTATTGTTGTTGAAACTCTTGATTACAACACAAAAAAAATTACCTTGGTCACAGTTTTTGACTTAAGACATAAGCATTTATGATAAAAAAAAATTACAAAACTTAATAGAAATTGAAAACAACAGTGTATATGCGGGATGAGACATTTATACGTCGGCAAGTAAAAGTATTACAAATTAAAATGTTGCGCGCGAGGACTCACACATCTTTCTGATTTGCAATTCGCGAAATGACGAACACTGCTTAATTCGACAATAAACGCATTTCGAGTCAGTTTAAACAATTGTCACATTTTACAAGCCACGCAAAGAAGAACGAGGAGCACTGTGACACACGTCGAGAAGATCATTTTAGCACCATTTTAACAAGAATAAAAGCCATTATACTCTGCCTGAAGTCAATTAAATTACTCCACTTAAATTACTCCTGAGGGTCATCGTGTATTGCCGATAAGCATAAAAGTGTCAAATAAGACACGGCGCATCGTCGAAAAAAAATCGTCTCGTCGGATAATTGAATAAATAATAAAAGAGAGGAAAAAAACGTTCTCTTCGGAGGGAAGAGACGTACTGAATAATTAAATTTTCATCAAGCGGTATTTCTTTCGGACGTCGGGCGACTGTCAAGAACCAACTTACGATATTCACAAAGGATCAACGATCCTCCATTGGGACAACGTCCGCGATTTATACGAAGCCGTCTTGGAATGCCCTAAATGAGCGATGACGACAGAAGAGTGAGCGACGTTGATCAGGAGTGGACTCTGCGTGAAAATTACTGGGAGAAGAACAACAGGAGTCACACGGCAGACGGGGAGAAGAACGAAGAGGAAGAAGAGGAGGAAGAAGCTGCTGATTTGTGTGAACTGGCGCCCCATAGTGCAATGAGCGTGGGGGCTGGCAGGGTCGATTCCCCCAGCCCCCAGGACATCAGGCTGCTTCATGATCTCGTCGAGGATCTCAGCAAGGAGCAGGAGGAGAAGAACAAACCGCGGGCGGAACAGGTGAGCAGGCCGCGCGCGTTTTCGGAAGTTAGACCGCGGATAAAATAGAGCCTTTTGTTGCGCGGGAGTTGACGGTCTTTCGTTTGCGACACACGTTTGCTATCGGAGTCCGATAACTTAGCGACGAGAGAAGGAGTCGCGAGTTGAGGACGTTTATCGCTTCACGCTCCGTATCGCACGTATTGGCGCATTCTCGCAACTTCTTGCTCGATTCTCCGAGTTCTGCCAATAATCCGGCTCGCTGTAACCGAGCTTTCTCGCAAAATGGGTTGGCGCACGGATTATATCAATGCGGAGGCGGCGTATTTAGCGCACCGCCGTAGTGCATGGTATTTCTGGGATCGCGGATATCAATTTACTCGTGAGACGTTTCCATTACGTTTAAGTGGCTCTCGATTCAAATCAATCTGTATTTCGTACAAATATGATCCTGATCACAAGTGAACTATAAGTTTTTTTAATGAGTATATTAGCAATTAAAAAATAACTTTTATAAAATAACTTTTATAAAATTACTTTTTATAAAATTACTTTTTTTATAAAATTACTTTTTTTATCAAATTACTTTTATAAAAACGAAGCGTACAGAAAGTTTCGATGAAACACGCGAGAACGTTAATAAGTTTTTATTACGTTTGTAGCGAAAGAAAATAAGTTTTATTATTATGAAAAAATACAGTATACTTTACTTAATCAAGATAACTCTATTTTTGAAATTTCTGTGTATATATATATATATATATATGTATACGTAAAAGTATAGTATATTTACAACGGAAGTTAAGACAATTTTAATTAACGTAAAAGTTTGTGTTTCACAAACAACCAGTTTCCACTCGGATTTCAACGTGAAAAACACACGATAAATCGTATCTTTCCACCACACACAGAAAGTTAGAAGTTTCGTTTAACAGAACGGAAGTTAGAAAACGGAATTCAGTTACACAGAGCGGCCACTTATAATTTAAGAGGAAATCTAAGTTCTCGGAGATGCTTTGCGCGACGACGAAGAGCGATCGTTCTTCGTTTTTTCTTCAAGTTGGACGAACGAGCGCGAATATGCAAACTAGGTTGACGCTTATCGATGGCTCCAGCGCTGACTAGTGAGCCAATTGCAATCACCCAAATTGGGGCGGAACGATTTAGAAGTGTTTGAAAAACACTTCTAAACAGAAGTGTTTGAACAAACGACCGCGAAATTGATGGCGGTCGTTTCTCAAAACATCGGCTCCGTCTTAATTTTTCTAATTAATTTTTCCGGTTTGATTTTCACGAGAACAATAAATTCTCACCTGCCTCCTTTCCTTTCCCTCTCCCTCCCCGCCCGGGTATGTCCCACGAGAATACCGGCTAAAGTTTCGACATTATAACTTTAGGCTTGTCGGGAGCTGTGGGAAATATTGCCTACTTCGAGGTTCGAAAAACGAGGACGCCGGGAATTAGACTTAACTCTTCTCGTGAATTTTATATCCTCTTGCGACATAGGCCTATTTCAAATCGAAGAGAACAATGAAGTACTGACGGGATCAGTAGTATTTTCTCCCCGTCATGAGTATACTAAATCCCTCGTATTAGAAAAATCTCTCTTGTACTTTTTCCTGTAAAAAGTCGGATTTGTTTCCTGCAACAAGATAATTATCTCATTTGCATTACGTTTGACAAAGGAGATTAATTTCTCTCGGAAATGCGCTGCGATATGAAAATGGCACAAAATCTCGCGGTAATACGATTCCCGTTTATAACAGAATAATAAAATGCGATGTCAGTTCTTTTTTTAGAAACTCAATATTCACGCTACGTGTTTCATATAATAATAATGTTAATATATTAACAGTAATATTAATATCTCTCTATTATTAATATTAATATTAATATCTCTATTAATTAATATTAATATTAATATCTTTCTAATATTAATATCCTTATTAGGATCCTCGAGAAACGATCTGTTGTATTTTCATCAGAAATAATATGTGAGGATAGATTCTTATCTGGGTCACAGCCAATTTGCGAGACGTAAAGAGCAAGCGGTATTGCTCGATTACAAGCGCGCCGTCGGGAATAATACGGTTGTGCAATGTAGGCGTCAGAGCGGCGAGGACGAAACCAAAGGGTTGCTCGCTCGTGACAAGAACTTTGATCGCTCGATTGCGCGAGAACGATCGCTTCGCGAATGATGTTAGAGCGAAAAATAAATGAAAAGAGAAAAAAAAAGTGATCGTGCGACGAAGGACGAAGCGCGGGGTTTTTTCACGGCTTTAGTCATGCGATTTTTCTCCGCTTTGCGCGGTTTTTTTCTCTTCCGTAGACGAGCGAAAATAAATTCATTATATAGCTACCGCGTCGCACAGAGGAAGCACTGACCGTGCGCGCAGATCGTTCAAAAGGTTCACGGTCGGCGAAGATTTTTATTCGGAAAGATTTTATAATCGCGACACAGAAGGACATCGGGAATTTTTGATGTATTCAACGGGAATAAAAAATGAATTGCGATCGGAAGGAGAGGCGCGAGACTACATGAGCGATAACTGATAATATCGCGAATCTATACATTCAATCGCGTTCTACACGAGACTAACTCAGGTTTTTTTTTTTTTTTACATGAACACAACGTTTGTTTGTGATGAAACGAGCACAGATATACTTTAGCGTGACACGCGATTCTAAATAGACATGTTTTTAGATGGAATACGACAGCACGAAATTATGTAAATGAGACAAATTGAACATGTTTCACTAACAAGCTTTACGATTATATTGGTAAATAGAAGAATTTGTATTTCTTTGTACGATTTGTACAGTTTTTTTTTTTTTTTTTTATTGCTGTATTGAAATATAAAATGTAGTACAGTGAGACGTGGGAGATGCGGGAGATTAGGGTTCGACTCCTGGCTGAGGCCTATTTTTTTGCGATGAATTTTTTAAATTTCACTGTGAGCTAATTCATATGTATGGATAATTCATATTTGATACAAAACATACAATATAAATTTTCAAATTACACTCAGATCAAATTGTTATACGTGTAATAAATAATTTACACGTATAATACATGTTTTTAAAATTAAATTTATTATTTATGTTTTTAAACATTTATATTTCGCGCACGCACATGGCTCGCATTGACCAACAAACTCTTCGATTCTAGTTCGATTCTATAGAATTCTATAGAATTCTAAATTTGCAAATTTATTTATAAAATGTACAAATATAAAGAGACGAGAACGCATTCGCCGTCATTAATCTATAAAACGTTTGCTTCTCTTGTCTAACTCTTACGATGAAGAATTCATCGCGATTCTCCTCGATATTGCGAATAGAGAAAACTCAATAACTAGAAACCCCGTTATCTTATGTACGCGACCTCTTTGTAGATGTGCGTGACATTTTCGCGATATTGGAAGAAAGAGAGACATTTCTCTATTCTGTGCTCATAGCGCGCCTTGCTTCACAATGTGTTCTACATGACGTACCAAGGCATATAAGACGTCGTCAGCTGGCGTCCCGCGCACAGCGTTGCGCCGCGCCGTTGCATCCCGCTGCGCCGCGTGGCGTCGCGTATTCTCCCTTCTCGACACGGGGGTGGCTCACAACGGAGCGAGTTCTCGGCAGGCCCGAGCCTGCGCAGAAGTGGGCGTTTCGCGCGCGAGCGTTACGTTCGAATCAATAAGAGCCCAAGCAGCACAGGTGGGTCGTCGTCGACGGCGGCGACGGCGAAGCCAGCGCGGCGCGCATACCGTGAACGACGCTGAAGCGACGGGACGCGCTTACGCGACGCGACGAAGGGAAGTCGACCGCTTGCGGCGCTGGAAGGGCCGGATTCGAGAGGTGAGGCAGGGACGCTTGTCGCGCGCGGAAGGGTTAGCGCGAGGACAGAAGGCCGTCGCAATCTGAGTTTCTCTCTCTTTCTCTCTAATTCTCTCTTTTTCTCCCGTCCTTTCTCTCTTTGTCTCCTCTGCTTCTTTCTTTTTCCCTCTTTATCTTTATCTCCTTCTCCCGGAAACGGAGAGAGTCGGCGAAACGAGATGTCGGCCGGAACAACGATCGCGACCGTTCGAAGCGCGCGACGCGCCTACGCTGGAGCGTCTCTCTCGCTTTAATCGCTCGGTCGTAGTGCGCTTGGGTACGGGACGACAATCCCGGGCTTCGTTCACTGGGATGACGAAGAGACGCGTCCTTTCGCAATCGGCCGTGCTATCACGTCGTGCTGCTGCACACTCCGGAGATCGGAGTGCGTCGTCATCCGGGCTTATTGTCGTCGCGCGTCTCTGTGAGAATCTACTTTTGTCTCCGGATGTTTCTGAATAATATAAGATATATGTTTCGTGTGCAATTTACTACTGGTGATAATAAAAAAGTTTTGCGCGTACTTTATCTTTCCGGACGAACTGTGCGAAAACCGTGTCTTTGATCAAGACACACTGATGTCCTCTTGATTCTGCTCGTGATCACCAGGTGTAATATGGACTCGTCGGAAGCTGACACTCCGTCCTGTCGATCAGTCGAACGAAGAATGTGGAACTTTACTATTGTGCTTACAACGCGATAGAATTATAATACCGAGAAAGAGAAAGGATTTGTTTTTTTGCTATATACTTGCGCGTCGTTGCATGCAACACTTGTATACACCACGCGTCGTAATAATCCAACGAAATGCAAGTGATAGTTAGCGAGAATCATCGTCGAGCACACACCGAAAGTAAGAAGACTCGTTCTACTTAACGTTTTAAGAGAACACGCACAATTATCGAACTGACAACGTTTTTATCCTGCCGCGTTTCAATCAATTCGAGAAGTCAATCTTGTTAAAAACAAAAAAAAAAAACAAAATCTCTTCTCATGGACAGAACCTCGGAAGAAAAGGCGCGAAAGCCCGTTTCGGTATGAGACATTCCGCGGTATTCGAAATATCCGCGATCTACACATATCGAGCGAGATCGGTAAGGACTGCTTGCGGAGGTCGCGCGACGTTCAACGAGAATCGATTGCGCTCGGTCGACCGACACGCGAAACGAAGGTCTTTCCATCCGAGCGTAAGGAAAACTCACGAGGGGGATTTCAGCGCGTCTTCGTGGACGGGAAATTGAAACGTCGCAAACAGAATGCCGCCTGGCGCATTATCATTGAAGGATTCCACCAGTATTAGCCCGTGCCAAATCTATTGAGGACATCAACGAGGGTTGACCGATTGTTGAGTCTCGTCGGCGAGAGCAGCAGCAGCAGCAGCAGCATCATCATCGTCATCATCATCGAGAGGGCTTTATCACACGAGCGTTTGCATCGAACTACTAATTGCCAATAATTTCATCACGTTCCACTCACTGTGGGACGCAATACTCACCACACACATACACACACGCTCGATATTTGCGTTCGCGTGCGAAGCTGTGTTTGTCGTAAAATACAAGAGAAATCTCTTAGCGTACCCGCGTTGGAATCTCGATATCTTGCTGAATAATTCCGCGAGGAATAAACTCTCGGCGAGGGTGAAAGAAAAAAAGGAAAGTGTTTCGAGACTGACATTCAGAAAGTTATCGTTTTCCAATTGAGACTGTTGTCACGTTCCATCCATTATTGCTAATTAATTATTACACACAGTTTATTGTGTCGCGCACAGCACGACAAGTGGAGAAGATTAAGTTTAAGCCAACCCTTTTACATTTTATACCGATATTATCGAGCAAAGAGAAAGAGAGAGAGAGAGAGCAATTTTATAAGTCAATCAAAAGAGAGAGAGAGAGAAAAACCAAAAAACAAAAAACAAAAAAAACAAAAAGGGTGATCGTTCGTCGCAAAACAAAGGAAAAGGCGAAGTTTTGTTGTCTACTTTACAGAACGTATATATAAATTGTATTATCAACAATTATTAGTAATTCGTCTACAAATACGGTCACAAGAGCGAGTTTTTTGAGACTTAGGTGACTCTACGGATGCGCACACGTCCTAACAATAAATGCACAATATTTAATGTTAACACGCGACGAGCACAAAAGAGAATTCGCTTTGTCGAAATCATTTGAACGAAGCGGTTGATTACGGTGTTTACGATTAAGACTATATAGAAACAAGAAACATCAGTGAGAAAAGAGATAAATAGACGTCAGAAGTATAAGAAAAACAAAAATAAAAATAAAAATAAAAATAAAAACAGTTAACCCAACAGTCTTTCAAAGCGTTGAACCCTCTTTTTTGCATTGCCTTGTCTTTTGCATCGCGATGCCGACTAACGGAGTACGATAACCGATAACGGATTTACTTGAATTAAATTTGGTTGCCTTACTTGTCGTCGGACAACAACAGCGATCAGCGTCTTTGCGAATCTTCAGGGATTCGCCGACACGCGACTTCGCTCTCTGGTCACTAATATTGTAAATAAATAAGAGGCGATCGACACAGTGGGACCGTAACAGTCGATCCCCGTCGATCGCCGAGCCAATACACTTCGTCAAGATTCAGCTGTTCAAGGAAAAACTGTCGAAGCCCCAGCCTCCGGGTTCGTCCCAATTGCGGGACGAGCACATAGCGCTGCGCTCGGTGAAGAAGGATCACTCGGACGATTCGCCGACGATTGTCAAGGTGGCCAATCGGCCGCCGCCGGTGGTGATCAGGCGGAAGCAGATTCCGCTGCCGCTCGAGGCGAAACAGCAGGACTCGAGTGTCGCGGACTCCAGCATCTCCGACGAGGTTCGATCCCAGGAGACCAGCGAGACCTCGGAGAGCATACGAAGACGGGATCGCGGGCGTTCTCTTCGCGACGACGAGGAATCGCCGCACGAAGAGGAAGAGAACGCTCGAGGGGGATTCGAACTCTCGTTGGAGAACGACAAGGATCGCTCGCGTGGGAAGTGGAGCTTTCTGCCGAAGTCCGCGTCAACGAACGGCACGGCGACGAGAGTGTTCGCGGAGATTGTGAGCGGTAGGGGCGCGTCAACCTCGACCACTAGTTCGTCGTCGTACGAGCGCGATCTGCAGAGTCTGCTGGACGATCGGCCGCGCGAGAACAGCGTCGGTTCGAAACGGCGCAGGGAGGCTGGAACTTCGGCCGAACGCTTCGCCGCTAAAATCAGCGGCAGCACGTCCTCGGATCTACAAGAAGAGAGCGAGCTGTCGTCCGAGGAGAGGGACGCCCTGATCGAGGGCGTTGTTAGAACGCCGTCGAGCGTCTGTCGCAACAGGATACCGAAATTTGGCGCCAGACGGAGGATCGTGGCCGCCTCCGGATCCTCCGTTCCTCGTGATTATTACTCCCGAGCGGCGGGAGATCGACTTTTCGGACTTACCGAGGATCATCCTTGCTGCGTATCGACGACAACAACAACGACGGCAATGACCACATCGGCGTCGAAATCACTGACGCGGCAGCAGCAACAGAACGTTCACGTGATCAGCGAGAACGCTCACGTGATCAACGACGACGAGACGGACACCTTTCCCGACGATCTTCCCAGCTCCTCCCAGAAACCGACCTCGGCGCCCACCACTCTCTCCCTCGGCAGGAAGATCACGTCCTGGACGAAGGAGAGCAAGGATCTTCTGGTGAAGTCGGTACCGTCGGCGAATACACTCGCGCCCACAACGATGACGTGCATCAAGTCACCGCGAGCGATGTCGGAGCATCTCCTGGGACAGCTCGACATGCCGGTCGCGCCTCCAGCCTCGGTTCTCGGAACGCTCCGGGTTAAAGGCGGTTCGTTACGGGAAGGCGATCGAAGCGAGAAGATGACAGAAGTGCCGCGACAAAGGTGGAGCAGCGTCAGAGTCAAGGGCGGCAGCACCAAGAGTCTGTTGTTGGAGAATGGAGGACCGCAACCGCCGCTCAAAAGTATCAGAAATAAGGTATATCACGTGACGCGACCCAAGCGCGCGAATGTCATTCAATTAAAACTATGCTCGTTAGTCACGATCTTGTCGCAAATTATACCCCCTCTTCAAACTCGAGCTAATAACACTATTGTGCACACGTCCTGAATCATACGCTCTGCTGTGTTCCGTCCGTTAGAATAGAATACATTGTACGCTCTGTATACATATATTCAATGTTCGAGGAAATGGAATACACACCGTAATGGACTGATCGACATCGCGACGTGCTCTATAAATTGCTGAAATATATATTTCATTGGCCCTCCCTCTCACTAAATAAATTGATAGGTGCGATATATATATATATATAACGTATAACAATGTTATACGTGAGAATATCGGGTAAAGTTCGCGGTTAATGATACAAAGTTTAAAGATTGTTTGACAGTTTGAACGATCCTTAAAAGATTAATACTGCAGAGATAGACAGAGAAAACTGCGAGCTATTTTTACAGATATTACATCGATCGCGATATTCACTCGCGCAACGTTGTCGGACTCTATAACGTGTGACGGAGATTTGAACCGCTTGTGTATGTTGTCGGAAAATATTGTATTTTAAATCTTTTCGAGATGACGTGCAGCGAAGCCACAAAAGTTCCATACGGAATAATGGAACTGTCCACAAAATGGCAAAGGATTGTCTATCAGAATGGCGCGTGTTTTTAATGATTTGATTGTATTATCACAAAAAAAGAGTTAAACTAAAAATCTCAATTAAAACTGAAAGAACATTGATAGTCTTTGTGGAAAATCCATTCTGACGATCTTTTACTTCATCTTGTGCCACAATTATATATTTGTATATAGTGCGTCTTATTGACGTAGAAATAAGAATTATAGATTTTATTCCGATACCTCATCTTATATTCTGATATCTGCTTTGTTCTCTTTACGTAATTACTCGCGAAGAAAAACTGCTATCGCGCACAATTTTAACGTTGATAAATGTGACGGTTGAAAAAGAATTTCGAAGAAGTACTGACTGACTGGTGATCAATTATTAAACGTGAAATCGATTCACCTAGATATCTTCTCATTGTCAAACATTTATTATCCTTTCGAATGTATTATTTGACAATTAAAAAACTTTATGGTCTTTGTATTTTTTCACGTTACAAATTTTCGTTGTATTTTTCTACGTTACAATTTTCTGCATTTATCAAATGTTTTTCGCGTTTTTATCAGAATAGAATGTTAACTCTCAAATATCACACTTCATTTTGACATTCACAAATATTGTACTACCTACACTAGTGCGAATTAGGGATTTTTGACATTTTTCATAGCGCACCTTTTTGCAAAAATAAAAGCAAATTTATTTCGAAACGCGTGTCTTTCAAGGTAGAATTTTCTTAAAAAATTGTTTGTGATATTTAAATTGAATAAAAATATTAATGTTAAAAAAAGTTGATCTTTCTTAAAAGTTTGCTACTTTTTTATATTAATAAATATATTTTTTATATTTAATGAATAAGTTATAGATTTAATTTCTCTCGCACACGTGCAGATTCACAGATTGTATCACGAGCAATTTTTTATTCTTTTTTCTCTTTCACAAACTTTAAGACACTTGATACTAAGAAATTTCCTACACGACATTGTAGAAAGTGTACATATTTGTCGTAGCGGGAAGAGATTGTTACAGCTTGGTGTTAGAAATGCCAGCCTGTTAAAAGGCGATGCGAATTCGCACTAGTGCGGTGTTTAAGGATTAAAAGGTGATTTATCTCGCAAAATAATTTTTTTTTTTTTTTTTTGTAAAATTAGTTGAAAGTCAAATTAGCTTTTTATCTTTGCGAATAAAAACAAATATGATGGTACAACTGAAGAAACTTGTCCGAAAAAAATGCATATTACGATTAGATACACTGTGGGCAAAAAAGAGAAAAGCAAAATATTGAAGAGCCAAGCGAAGCTGTACAGTTGTTGTCGATTATCTCGAATAAATCATTTGGCGAGATCCAAATGTATCTCCGGCGAGTTTCTTCGATTGACTCGGTCAGATACCATTTTATGCATCGTCGGGAATGCATTGTTTGCAAAGAAAACAAATTTGACGACTTCATACCACAGACTAGTTATGGCGAAGAGGATAAACATCGCATTACCATGCCTATACCGCAGTAGTGGATGTGTTAATGCTATTTTCAGACTACACATATGTACTCGTGATGTATTCTGGTGGGCTACTGCCTCGTCGAAAAACATCGATTGTTCCCTTTCTGTCCGGCATGAACTTGCGCAGTTAAAATAAAATGATTCGATTAAGTAATACAAGCTTTACATTACGTTAAAGTGCTGCAAGGATCGGTTGACGTAAATATAAAAACATGCGGTATAAAAAGGAAGAGATTTTACTTTCGAATTCTCTTTTTTTTTTTATTGAAAATATCACTTTTTATATAAAAAGTCTTATATAAAAAAAAATACTTCTAAGAGAAATATGTTGAATCGCGCTCTCTCTTAGTAATTCTACCTCGTAGTTGCGAATTACAACAGTGTCATTTTCAACAATTACGCTTGAGCAGAAGTTTGCGCAAGTAATTGCTACAAGGTTTCATAAACGAAAGTGGAAATTACGAGGTGTCATTTAATATTTACCAGGAAATCCCTCGGGTTGTCATTGAGCGAGCGCGCCCTTTCTGTGGGTCACTACCCAAACCCATTACGTCGATCTAGCAAGTCGGCAATTAGTGCATCCCTGCAATTAAATTCGACGAACGGATAATTAGTTCACGTTTTTGCGTTCCGATTAAATGAATGTCCTCTTTAGCGCGAGGGGAATCCCCGTGAGAATAGTGCGTGACTTGCAAATTAGCTTTTGCGAGTCTTACACAGACATAGATAGGAAACAACATAGATACAATGATAAGTCAAATGATAAATTATTAAATTTTTTGTTCCCTCCGACGACGCGCAATACGATTGCGATAAAAACGATTGATAACAGTTTCCACACGTCGCGCACAACTGCGCGGTTATTATCGGAAGTGACGTCGACGACCGTTACATAATTGTCCGTTTGAGAACGAAGGGAAACGAAGAACTATTAAGTGCAATAAAGCGAAAATTGAAATGGAATTGAAGACATAAGCGACAGTTTTTACGAGAAAATTATAATTTAGAATTTAGTTGGAAAAATGATATACAATTATTACACAATTATATTAAATATATATACAAGATTAATTAAATTACATAAAAATAGTTATTTTATTTTATATATGAAAATAACGCGCAAATAAATTTTAAACAAGTTATAATACACAATACTAGAATATTTTATTTATAAAATATTCAATTATTTTTCCGCGCGATACTTTCAACGCGATACTTTCAACGCGATCAGACGATATCAAATTTATCAACAAGAAGAGATCGAAATCTTGATCTTATTAATGAATGTCTAGCTATTGTGTAAGAAAATGCGAGATGTCATTAATCATAATATATTTAGATAAAGCGATAACGCGAGGAGGCAAAAGCATTATAAATCGACTTTTCTTATTAACAAGAAGGCGGCGGCGACGACGACGCATTGGCTTTAAAAAGATCGACGACGGATTACGCTTGTTTGTAAGTTAAAGCTCCGTGTTTTCCGTTTGTAAAGCAGCCTTCGATTTACAGTCGAGATGCCTGAAAACACATTCACGCTCGTCTGCGTTGGTTACTTTCAGTAATTACGTTTTACGGCCGCAGAATGAACACGCGGTGCCGTTTCAGGAAGTTCACGTAACAGTCCGTTGAAATATTTAATATACCGAAAGCCACTGCGAACGTTTTAATCGACGTATGAAAGAGGAAAAAATTAATTAATTACTTAAGTTACTTAAAAGAGAGAGATTTCTTGCATTAATTCGCAATAACTCTCTCCATTAACACATTACTTCGCTTTTCACGGATCTGAAAGTGTGTCACTCACAAGATTCGTGGATAAAAGCGAATATGATCTGTATATAAGAAGATTTTAAATCTCTCTTTGTAAAAGTAACGTATCAAATTATTCTAATCACAGGAATTATCCTCGTCAATCCATTAGGAAAATTAATTAAAAACTGCCATCCGAGCGATTCGCGATAATAACAGCGATAATAATTCTATCCTCGTAATTAGGGTGTTTCACCGCTTGATAACGCGATACTCCACTTTGCTTGTTAATTACATTAATTAAGCGCAAAATGCGTAAAACGAGCGTATTAGCGCGTTTAATAACAAAAAAAACTGAGCTATATCTCGCTCTAGACGCAGATGACGATCTTTACCGCAAGATTGCTAAACGTTAATTGTCGCGGTATTTTTATATTTTTTCCTCCCCTTCCCTCATCTTAATAATGTCGCGTGCTTTTAATCTCGTAAAACTGACTGCCGTATACCTCACCACTCTAGTCGTCTCGCCAAGCCGTTAAAGTGATTCATCGAACATGCTCATAAAATGTCAGCCGCCGTCGCTTAACTCGACCTTTCCGAATGCACTTAAGCACGCGATCGATATGTTATCAAATTAATGTCATATAATTGTAAAACGAATTGAAATTAAAATTCCATCACGGAGATCCATTTCGTCAGCTCTTGTAACATATATGATACAATTATCGTTAAGCATCGACGAAGTAAAACCGAAACGGAATTAATCTTAATCTTGACAAGCGCAAACATGTACGTTTAATGGTTGCAATTCGTTTCCGAAACGCGTGAATTTCTCATGCAACGTTTTGAGGCAGGAACGAAGCAATTTCGAGGAAAGAGAATTCAAGATTATTGAACTACAATTCAACTCGTACCTCTTAGAACCACATATATATATATATATGTATATATATATATATACATATATATATATCGTTGATCCATTTTTTCCTTTATTAAACTGCGCACAAAGAGAACTCCGATGTCACTTGTAATTCGATGAATCAGCCGCGAATATCGGGAAATGCGCCTTGACACTTTTATCCATCCCATCCTATTTTTGA